TTCTGTTTCACCTGAAACATGCTCCTGATATTATGAGGCATATTCTGTGATCTGAGCACATCAGATGGGAAGAGTTATTACTGTCAATAAGTGTGATTGTTATCATGTAATCCTCTACCTTAATGTCAATACTTTACATAATAGGCATTGTATTTAACAGCAGATATTGGAACAGGCACAGTTTCACAAGTGTTATATTACCCCAATTAGATGAAATATGAGCTGGGATCGAAAGATCTCAAAAATCCTCAATTTTGGGCTCTCCTGGATCGCCAAATCAAGGTCATTATATCATGGCATCACAGGGCTGAGAAGAAATGAGATGCCATGGTTTACCATGATGATGAAACAAACTCAAATCGTTCTATCTATACTTAACACTCTGGAAATTAAGAAATTGCCCCTTACCTCTTGCAGCGATATTGTCTTAATTTATAAACCGTTTCAATTGTAGTGTTAATGAAAACATGTAAACTTGCTGATCGATATATAAATCATGATATCGTTTAAGATAGAACCAACTTTAAATGTTTTGCATTTGAAGGTATCGGTCCCAAATGACCAATAAACCCATATTGGATTGTCTTATTTACATTTAAGTGTTCCATTGTGAATTCCTAAAGACTAACAAATATGCGATAAAGGTGGATAGAAACTGTTGGCACTTTGAATAAGAGATTAACAAAATGTCATCACATGCCATTTGTTACTGACGTCGAACACCGAATACCAACCACTGAACACCAACCACCGAAATCCGAACACCAACCACCGAACTCCGTCCACAAAAAAAGTTGGAGACTATAACAATACGTCACCACTTGTGGTGGTGACATAAACATCAAATTACTAATAAATACTCTGCCCAAGTCCTAAAGTCAGTTTTCGTTCAAGGTCATACTCTGGCAATGAATTTGCTGCTTTTAGACTGCTTAGTGCTTACACACATAAACTATTCTGTAAAACAAGCGACAAGTAAATCAATAACAACTCCGATGTGAGCCTGGAAACTCGAAGAAAACCATTTTAGCGCACAATTGAAATCATACCCGACACTATTGTATGCGCAATTAATAATGCATATAACAACTATTAATTTAATTGCTTGTTATAGAAAAAGTATCTCGTTTACATCATCTTATGTTCTGATTTATAACACCACTTACTTTAATGAAAATTCAAAGAATAGCAAAAGTATACTTAATCCAATCATATATCAACATTAACTAAAGAAGTTTGGCCCAGTGTTCTACTCCTGACGTCGGGAGTAGATAACTGGTATGGGCCAGACGGGTTTGGTTAGTATCAACATAAAATCATTAAAGATGTCCATAGTATTTATCCTCAACATGAGATTTCAGTACTTTCAAATTAAATGTGCATGATATTCCATTTGAACTAATAAACTGAATTTTGTCTAAAATTAGATTAGGAAAAATGCTACAAATGTATATCAGGTAAATGCCAGCTGATTCCGGAAGGATATGTGTGAGGGCAGATGTTACTAGTAGTTCTAAAGACGAAGCTATCTTTTAAGAAGCTAAGTCAACGAATTAATACGAATTAATGCGAATGGTAGCAAGACAATTTCATTGATAGTAGAAAATCTCTGATTATCAGTGACTTTGTCGTTCCCCTTAGAGCTTCTGATAATTGCACAATTCTCCTTTATCCACAAAAGACAACTACATTAACTGGATTTTTTATGTCGTAAGGTTCACAACGCGCTCCATAATTACACTGGGGTGACATTGGGCACACGCCAGTCCCAAAGCGGCCCCAGTTTACAAACGTTGGACTTTATGTCATTGTTTGGATCATGAAACTAATTTTCATTTAAATGATCATAGTTCGTGATGTGCTCTTTTGTACATTTATTCTGGAACTGAAAGTACAGTGCATCCATTAAATGTAATAGGGACATTATTTATTCAATCTTTATTTTACCCTTCTATCACACCAAACGGGTTTAAACTGTGTAAGAGAACCGTTTTGGGTAACTGCTTGGATACACTGGATAGACAAAATAAAGACTGCTTATGAACGAGTTAGAACCAAGCTAGTTCTTCAAAACGTTGCCTAACTCGTGTTAAACTTAGTTCTCTAAGCCGAAAGCTATCTTTTAAGAAGCTCAGTCAAACTAATGCAACATTTGATTTGAAAATTTGGCCTAAAATTTAAAAATTAGGTTTTAAAGGCCCAGTAATGACCGAAAATGTCAAGGGCCCGATTTTTTTCTGGGCCCACCCTGCCCGCGCCAGTGTGTAAAGGGTAGCAAGACCTTTACATTGATAGTAGAAAAATCCGTGTGTATGCATAGATGGGCGCCTTGCAATATAGTAGTATTTTTAAAGTACATGACTTACGCAAAATCGTTTATTTTTGCACTGATAATTCTCTGAGAATCATTTCCCAGAAACAGGATGGTCACGTATCAAATATTATATTGTTTATTTTGAGAACTGTATCCAATTTCAATATATATTTAGATAAATTACACAACCCGAACATCAAGTTTGCGTCAGAAACACGAACGGAAGAATTCGATCCATCTTAAGTGATATTCAATTATTTCAATATTGACATTATCTAGAATGCTGTAAATTCTGCATTAGACACTAAAATATTCACTCTTGAAACGAGATCTATTCCAACAACCCATTTACTGAATTAACTGTTTACAATTCCATTTAAAACAATGAGAAGGTGCTCAATGCTTTGATTATACAATGTACACAGTGAGCCCAAAAATGCAATCCTCTAATTTCGAAAAAATTCGGCAATTCAAAGAATCAAAATCTCTGTTGAGCTATGTTATTGTGCCAAATCGTTCAAAAGTGCTATATTTAGAAATCATCTAAAAAGCAAGTGAAAATGTACACCACGGAAGTGTGTAAATTACATATCATCGGTAAAATGTACATATGAAAGTGTATATGAATGTAGGAAATCCAGAAATGACTTTAGTAATGACATCCAAACAGAAATTTGCATTTTTGAACGTTTTTGACGATTTCCTATTTCATAGGTGCCCATCCCAGGATAGGATACATGAGTTCCATAAACCTGAAATTTCTAGCTGCAATGTAAATGTTGCCCTATTGCACACGTGATCTACACAAAACACTCAAGAAACTTACGATTCCATCATACTTAAAAAGTTTTTTTACGATGGGTTGTATTTTTGGACCACCCTTGTATACGCCAACTTATAAGTTCTCACTTATCTATCAACACAATATATATAGGGCAATATATTAAGTTTTCATCTTACCATTAATCATCCTCCTAAGCAGGTGTCCAGAATCAGTACCTCATTCTTCCCCCTGGGGGTAAAAAGAAAGAAGATATTCTGGATTTTGAAGCCCTGTGATCGGAGGATGACCATTAATCTGATTGCGTATTTCAAGGTGTGATATCTAGCAGTCTTATCTTTTATTAAAAAGGCATAAGTTTACACAAAGCAAAAGCTCGTTAGAATTATCAGATAAGTAGTTTTCAAAAAGCACTTTTGCAATGCCGTGTAGAAGGTCATGGTGCCTGTCATACATCAATGCCTTTTAATGGATTTGACGGGCGCGCTTTGTTCTCAGATTGCCAATGCATTGTCACCTTATTATGCCCTAAGTGTAATGTGAAGATATTAAATGGGATTTCACCTCGATGCATTATTAGTGATTAAGGATTGGGGATCTTATGCAAGCCTTAAACCGAGACAAGACTAATTCAGCATGTTTTTAACATGGACTAGGCGGGGGACTACAATGGAGGTTGGGCAGAATTAGCCCAAACTAATCTACGGCCTTCCAAACAAATGTGTAGAATTTGCAAAAACTTATTCACTGGTGATCCGCTCGATTACGCTGGTTACCAAAAACGGTTCGTTTTGATAACAAAATGTCGGAACGTCGAAGGTACGATTTTTCTTTTTTCCTTATTTCACGAGTTATAGGCAGAATCCCCACGACGTTTTTTCTCACAAACGTGTATCAGCATCATATGTTTTAGAAAATGTACATGTTTGCGAAAAAAATAGCTCAGAAGACAACAGAATCGTCGATTTAATTCCTCACTTAAGTTACATAAACGGTTTGGGTTAAAAGTGCAGATCTTAACAGTTTTTCGAAAAACCGTTTATGTAACTTAAGTGAGGATTCTGTTGTCTTCTGAACTATTTTTTCGCAAATATGTACATTTTCTTAAACATATGATACTGATATACACGTTTATGTTAAAAATGTCGTGGGACTTCTACATATAACGTGTGAAATAAGGAAAAGAGAAAAATCGTCCCTTCGATGTTCCGACATTTTGTTACCAAAACGAACCGTTTCGGTAACCAGCGTAATCGAGTGGATCACCAGTGTTATTGATTTAAAACAAATTCACTGTGGATGGTAATTAGAAGAATTTGGTTAAACGCGAAAGCTCCCATTTAAAATACCGTTATCCATTAATTTACTCTTAAATGATAAGTGATAATAACAAACATGTTTGGATTATCTCAAAACATTCTCATCCCAACAGCTTTCTTACTTGCAAATCGGTTTGAATTTCAAAAGCTTCATACCTTTGAAATCCAAGATGGGCATCAATTTTACATATTTCAAATACATACACCCCCTCCATAAATTTGGCATCCGGAAGTGGCCCCTTTGCGTCATATTAAACATTCACACATAGCTTGGAAAGATGTGTCTGATTCCGGCCAATCCGAATACAGTATTATAACTGCAGTGTATTATATAGCCAATCATCACCCGATGTCATTTTTTGAATGGTTGTCAGGGTAACAACTTGATTCTACAGATTGAAAGTGATGCTCTGCCAACTTGACTCTTTGCAAAAAGTTTCATTGAAAATATGTTCTTATATTGATTTCGTATATTTAAGTGACGTGGTAAACAGTATTTTGCAATGTGTGAATATAATTTTAACCCAAGAGTTCGGCTTAATTCTTTAAATTGCATATGCAATATATGATAACTGATGTTTTTCAGGTATAGTGATTAACAAAGAGGACGAGTGTGGTCTAGTTGTAAAGCAAACTTGGGAAGAGATGAGGTTCGTGATAGAAAGAGATAAGGGTGCTTCTTATGACATGGTCACACTAGATGGAGGACAGAAGCATACACTGGATAATTTATTGGAAGGTACGTCTTTTATGAATGTTTTTATGTAACATGTTATCACATACATATGGTTGTTTGTTGTTCTCATAGTTTTAAAACATTGCAATCACGATGTTTCTCATATGGTTCAGATAGCACGTGTGTGGAAGCCCAACTGTTTTGACTTATCCAAGTGTTCCAAGTTATTTACTTATCTAATCAGATCTGAAAATACACAAGGGAGGGTGTCCAAGATTATTTTTGCTGGGGAAAAATGTTGACCCCTTATGAAAACCCTATTTTTGAAAATGTGGGGCCATTTTTCAAAGGAGGCCCATTTTTATTTTTGAAGAGGCCAATTTTTCCAAAAATGAGGCCTATGTTCCTGAAATTGAGACTCCCAGAATAATATGACGAGGCTCTAAAAAGTGATATACTATGATGAGGTATTTGGACCTTATTAACAGATTAATGGTAAGGCAGCTCCACAAAGAGTTGAAAGAGACTCTTAACAAAGTGTGATATAACGTGTCTCTCCAGAGTTCCATAAAAGGACATCAAGTAGCTACAAGTGTTTATGTCTAATATGTAATGTGAAATAAATTCTATGAATAAAAAAGAAAAAAGACATCGAATCCCGGTGGAAAATGATGTTCAATAGTAGGGTGTAGTATGCAGAGATAATTTAAGATTTAGGCCATGTCCCGGAACCACTTGCGTTGCTGTAACTGCTTCTGTCATCAAGGAATTCGATTGAGAAGCTCATTCAATTGCCTGCAATTTATCTTTTAATAGTGAGACATTGCACTTTCTGATTGGTACTGTTGTGTTTAATTGTTTGTCCCTTTTGCCTCTTTAATAATCCCCCAAATAGTTTCCCAGATGATTCGGGCACAGATCATGATCGAGGTAATAGCCCAGAATTCCAAGACGAACTCATCTTCATGTAAAGATGACCCTCCCGCTTCAAGCTTACACGAGGTCAGGCTCGTCTTTGAATTCTGGATAATTTCCCCCTCTGCAGACAAAACATGTTTTGCTTGACTCACATCACTAAATTGAAGAATAGTTTCCATATTTTCGATTTATTGAATTAGGAAGAAGAGGATGCGTGGACATTTTTGGTCTGGGATTTGTAATGAATTGAAGCATATCTGTTAACCATTCAAATGCTATTTTCGGCCTCGATTAATGGCTTTTACTCAGAAGATATACATCCCTGTCATTTTAATAGGTCCATTGCCTGGTGATTGGAATATCACTTCTTTCTCATGGGATGTTTTTATTGTATAATATGTTTTTGTGTTTTTTTGCTGCCCTGAGCAAATTATGTGTTTTGTACGCAATTTGCGTGGAACACTAAATGGGATCGTATATGCGTATTACAATCTATTTACAGAATCCAAAATGTCGTCGGAACAAGGAAATGAAGTCATCTTTTCCCTATGGAATATGAGATACATTTCCTAAGGTTCTAAAGTCAAAGGCAATCGTTGTAATTTATTGCAATTCAATTTTACACATCAAGCACTGCCAGTTGCAGAATTCCAATTGGGGCTATATCTTCCAGCCCCTTGCGAAATACAGATACATTTCCCCTTTTATACACCGATACCATCGATATACATCTAAACATTTAAAGCAACAAATGTGCTGAGCAGTATGTCGTGTCCTTAAGACCATGGTTAAAGATGAAGATGTTTTATTATTTTAAATGCGTTTCTATCATTAAGAGTGTCCATTATTTATAGCCCCTGCTGCCAAAGATAACTAGCAAGCGTCTTCATTTGTTTTTGTTCACAAGTTAATTGAGGGGATTCTTATAATGATTTTATTATTACCCGAAATCCAAATTTTCCGTGGAGAGCACAGACTGAGAGTTAATGTGCACCGTTTTGAAGACCCCCTGGCTCACAAGGGTAAGGTGAACGCTATAAAAATGAATTAATCGGCTTTAAGGGATTTTCAAACGAAATAGTTGCCTTTGATAGCGATTCACCATTCCAAGAGACGCATCCATTACAAAGTAGTTCTAAGGGAACGCAGTTACACCCTCTACAAGTGATACATTCCGTGGCACTGGGTTTGTTTACGTTCCCTAAGGTCTTGGCGCTGTCGTATTGCGCGCCGAACTAGCTGTGTGAAACGTTATCTCCATTTTTCCGATCGGTAAGATCACCATTTTTACTAAAATGATCAGTTATATTTCGTTATAATGTGAACAAACATGGTGCCTCAGAATGGATCAGTAGGAAAGAATACCGCTGTAATTGATTGAAATAAAAATTAAGTGTAGGAGGGTAGGCAGAACTCATCAATTATTTTCGCTAATTTTCATTTGCGTGTCATTTTAACATCATGACCATAACTGTGTTATTCATTGTGTTATTGAGAGGTTCGTATTTAGTGATGGCTCCCAATGATGGTTCCTTTATGTGGTTTTGTTAATCAAGAATTATTGTGTTTAGTTGTACTAGAGTGTTGGATAAGGCCCATCTCAAGGATTCTAATCTGGAATGAATCTAAGGGGTAAAGGTTAATTAAGATCTAGAGTTATTGTACTGCATTTTATTATTGAATCATAAATCAAGAATCATTGTACTGCATTTATAAAACATAATATTCAATTTCAAGAAATTAATATTTTTTATTAAAAAAGTGTATACAGCTAGTATACACAATAATAATGAGGTATGACACATCTATATATTTCCAAACGTCATTTTCACTACTCGTTCCTCAGTATTTTTTTGCATTGGTTTGGTGTATTTATATTTTCTTGTAAGACTGATGGGAGATAGACATGAGGCGTGTTAGATTGTCAAGATTATATGATGTTATTCAGGAGGAGGGGGAGGGATTCCAAAGTTCAGATTAGGTATTAGATCACTTGGTATCCATGTGATCCATATAAGGCTTTTAGGACCATATAGGAATCATCCAACTGACTGTTGTCCACCATTTTGAATGTCATGTGATAGATCCATATAAGGATTGTAGGACCATATAGGAATCCAAGGAGGATTGGCTCCAAGAATGCAACATCAATATTCTTTTCATATATGGTGTTATGACCTTGACCGTATTATCACGTAGTCATGTCGTGGTTACAAAATTTTTCACTACAAAATTTGAATTACTTTCCGAACACACAAGAACAAATCAGGATATTAGTTCATTTTTTTGGGATCGCTGACTATGAATCTATAGTCAGGTATAATGTCAGAAAATAACTACATTTCAATGTTGTCATCGATCAAGGTCAAGGTCAAATATCGACTTGGGACCCTGGGAACCAATCCTCCTTGATAGGAATCCTACTTTTTGAATGCCATGTAATGGGTCCATGTAAGACTTGTAGGACCATGTTGGGAAAGCAAAGAGGTAGCTCTTGATACCAAGTAATACCAAATAATTATGTGAGCTACTCACTTCTTCTGATGCTATGTAACTTCCCAAAATACACAAACAGATGAAAGCAAAACAGTTATTATTCATTTCTTGCAAATAAGCTTCCACAAAAATAAAAAGGTAATGGAGCAGTGAATGAATAGGATTATAAATTCATGTTATGAATCGGAAATTAAATCTTGCATTCTGGTATTATTTATCAAAAAATTCCAATCAGATAAGTAAACAACTGACATTGAAAGGCTCAATTTATTCTTTAAACAGGTTTTCTTGACACAAGCAACTTGTGTCTATGACCCGGTTATGGAAAAAGTTAACCGGGAAGAGTAAGTCAATAAAATTAAACAACATCAATGATGAATATAATCTTGGAATAGATCTGAAATTTACTTTGTATGCACCTGTGTCTACTTCAATTGCGTTAATGGGAGAATAAATACGTTTTAATAAAAGTGAAACACGTTGCGCACAATCGATTTGTTAACGGCATTGATGTCTCAATCAAGCATGAAATGAAATACTTTCTATTCTGTGGTCACTTTATTTGATGAAGATTAATAGAATTTTTACATTTGAGTTATCATATGCTACGTAAAGCATTAGTAGCTAAGTAATTTGATGAATCCACTTTTTTACAGCTCGTCGCCACTTTTCCCGTAAACGATACGCAATCCTGATTGGTTGTCACGATGACGTCACTCAGACCATAGCCAATAAGTTCAAAGTACCCTATATAGTGCTGGAGCCACCGGGTCAAGGTCGTCGCGTGATAGGGTTCAATAATGTATATCACATTTCTCCCCACTATGAAATCCACTTACAAGCAGCAAGTGACATACTGTATGAATATCGGTGGTCCAAACTTGCAATTATATACAGTGACACAATAGGTTGGTATTTACTATTTACATGTATGCATTAAATTATAAAGTGAGAGAAAAAGTGAACGACAAAATGATGGATAAATGATCAAATGCTTCTTATGCGAATGCAACTTCAACTTTTTTACTCGTAAAGCATAACTAAATCTTAATCAACCAACAAACCATAAAATGTAATCATCAAACTAAACTATAATATATGCATGTTTATTATTGTTTAACTGCTTTTGTTCTCGTCAAATACTACAGGTTTACATCTAATTGGGGACATGATGACAAAATACCAAGTGCAGGCGTGTCGCCTGACGCGGAAATCGAGCGACCGCAGCGTGGATATGGATATCCAGAAGTGCCTTCTGAAACTAAGACAGGGAGAATTTGCTAACATATTAGTTAACGCAGATGGGGGCTACTTAGCTCGAATTCTTTATCAGGTAGAAGACATATGTTCATTGAATTTTCTCTAAGAAAAAATAGTACTTGAATGTGGTTTAGTTATCCTTAAAGGATCTGGCACCCAAATTCATCAGACTTTTTGAACACAGCAACCAAATATTCAGAAATGACAAAATCCGAATTATGAGGAGAGCTCTTTTATAATCGAAATGTATCTATAAGGTATTGCAAAGGCGCCTGTGGTGTAATACCTGGGTTTCCTTCGATGGATTTGTTGTGACTTGTGGTGTCTGTGATTACCGCATTGTATTACTTCCGCCGATTCTATCACGAGGTCGGCTTCACCTTGGTGTTCACACATGTATATATCACATGACTTATCGGGACTTCGGAAGACGCCCCAGCTGTTTACTCAAAAGTGTCAGATCTAATGATCAAGAATATCTGGCACCTGAAAGAAAAGTATTTTTACGATCGATTAGCTTTATTGTAATTAATAAGTATTTAAGTTATGATTAGAGGATTAGACTTTATTGATGATGTGCCTATTTCCAAGTAAGATTATTCAAATCAGTTTATAATCGCAGTTCCTTTTTCATACTGGGTTTATTGTTTGATCGTGTGGCTTTTGAATGTCTCTTCCCCGATCTCTTCTAATTTTAATCAGAATTCATTCGAAGTTAAACAGAAGGCACTTATTCTTTGCATTTTGGTATGGAACGAGGATTAAGAGTTTCAAATTCTGTTTCAATTAAAGAGTCCTGCCTACTCCAGAGTAATGCTGATGTTGATGAGAGTTGCGATATTAATGAGCGAAAGTCAGTTCATGATCAATTTGCATTGTCTTTACTTACAGTAGAAACAATTCATTTATACATATTTTCCATCTGATTTTCCCTTTTCCTTGTCAGTGGCCAGAAATATTTTTCTGGCAGTACATACCTTTCATGAATATGTTTTGGATTTTCCTGTCACGATGGGTTGTCATCTTGCAGTTGATTCACAAGGCTATAACCATTGAATAATCAAACAAAACAATACGCCAATGATACTCTAAAAACAATGATATCGTGTCATTCAGACACTCAGTTGCTTCGGTATTTACGAAATTCAACGATGTAAGGATTCATCTTGATTTTCAAATTGATTATGCTATACATTGCATGCGCATGCTCGTTTCTACCCTGTCACTATGTGGTTTGTTGCATTCGGGAAAATCTAACCAAAACCAATCACATGTTTCCAAATATTTGTTTCATCATTTGTTACACTTATTGATGTTAATTTTTATATCCAATAATAATATGGGATTTCTAATTTATAATTGCAACTTTGTCTCTGTCTCTAAATCTGATACTGGCCTGAATTATAAAAATGTCACGGTGACTCTGAATAAGTCAAACTATTTATGAAAGTATTGGCGTTACCAAATAATAATCTAAGTAAATATACGATAAATTTAGTCAACGTCTCAATTATGTAGAGAGGAAAACGAGATAGTTTTTTATTAATTTGAGACAAGGACCCATTTTAATGTCACCATCAGAAGTGATGACATATTGTTATAGACTTTAACTGTTTTTGTGGACGGTGTTCGGCGTGCGGCGGTCGGCATTCGACGTTTGGCGTCTGTAACAAATGGCAGGTGATGACATTTTGCATTTTAATGCGTTGTTATCAATTTTGGGGAATAGAAATACTATGTATGGGTAAAAGAACGTTTAATCAACCATCCTATTAGCTGAACAAACGTACTGGATCAAAGAATGGTACATTGTGCCCAAGGGAATTGATATACCATTGGAAAAGTGTCAGGAATAAACTGGATCCAATGTCATGGCGAACCTTATCCAGTTACAAAAGTTGATTAAAAAGAATAACATTTATTATAAAGAGCATTTAAGAACAGGACTTTGTTTTGTTGATGAAGAATGATACGGTCAAATTAGTTAGTGGACATTTTAAGCTAGCAATGTTTTTCACAACGCAACCGTGAACGGAAAGTACATGAATCAATATAGCAATGTACAGCGCGCATTAAAAACAAGCGCTAATTAGTCTACTTCAGATACCTGTTCAGCTTCAGGGTTTCGTGTTTAGAACGCGAAATTCCAAATTTCACGTTGGTCTCAACGGGAATCATTATACTTGTGTCAATTGCCATATTAGACTAGTAATTTTGATTTCAATATAAAGTAAAATTCTTTCTGAAGAAGATGATGTACACTCCCCTCCATAAGTTTGGCAACCTTTTTCCCCCCATTGAACTACGTGTTAAAGCCTCTTGACCTTTGAATTTTTATTTACTTAACCTGCGATGAAAATACTTATACTAATGATGGACACGTAATTTGACCTTAGTTCCAATACCTCCAAATTTTCACAATTTTTTTCCTCAATTACAATAGGTCGAAAATTGATGATAAATTTGATGAATTTTTGCAAATTGACATTCCCATGTTAACCAATGGGAAATGGTAGGTTTGCCGCAAGTCATATGACAGAATATCCATCTATCCGAGTCCTTGCAAAAAATACGAGTTAGGCAGGCAATTGAATTTGCTAACTTTATTTAACAAAAAATTGATATGTTTCTTCAGGTTCAACAAAGTTATAGGGCTTTAAAGTCAAAATTGCTTTTCAAAAAACCTCTCCCATTGAAATAACACAGGAGACGAAAAATTATTTTCAAAAATGACTTTGAAGCGATGTAACTTTAATATTCATCAAATAAACTTAACACTTAGTGTTCAAAAAAGTTAGACAATTAAATTTTCTATTTTAAAATATTTTTCTGTGAATCTTTTACTGAAAAGATATCCTGATTTCTGATTTGCCCCGAACCCTCCATTTCCCATTGGATTACACGGGAATGACGATTTTCAAAAATTCATCTTTATCATAAATCTTCGACCTATTGTAATTGAGGAAAAAAATTGAGAAAATTTGGAGGTATCGGAAATAAAGTCAAGTTACGTTTCCATCAATATTAAAAGTTATTTCATCGCCTTTTAGTAAATAAAAATTCAAACGTAAAGAGGCTTTAACACGTAGTTCAATGGGGGGGAAAAGGTTGCCAAACTTATGGAGGGGAGTGTATGTCATGCATATTTTAGCACCGATTATCTTACCTAACGAACTTTTGATTAAAATATGTGTCAGAAAACCAGCTATAGAACTACAGATGGCGTATTACACGCTGCATATCACATACTGCGTTGGGTCTCAACTATATGGGCAATTTATACGTATACGTTGCCGTTTCAATTTTATACACTAGCTTAAACTCTCCATTGGCAATATCTATAACCACATCAGATCCTCAAAGCTTAACGATGTTAAAGGCGTAACGCAACAGTTGGACAATGACCGTCAATCATTTCACCATATATCCATACTCGATATATTCTCAATAGATCGTGTACAATATTGACTTAACTTGTCAATCACACTTCAATATAGCAACAGTGTCACGATTTTTCGAACTCTTAAATCGTGACATACTATATCCATTTTTAATGATTCATGGTAATGCTTAACTACACCTAAACGATATGGCATTTTTGAGAAATTTGAGTAAAGTAACATATGTCTAAAATATTGAACATCTTAATAATTTGGAAATGTAAATTATCAAAATGTATAAATCACAATGGATCATCGATGGATCATTGATATAAAATATCATATATTTAGTGAAAATCTGCAAAATAGAAAATTGAAACGTTCCAGGTTAACAGTATATAAATTACAAAATAAATTGTGCTTGGAGAGATACTTTTAATACAGTATAAATAATTCATCTCTAATTTGACAAGATGTCGAAAACGTGACATTTGACTTTTATGCACATTATTGATTAGATTATGCCATTTCTAATATAAAAAATATTTAAATGATGTTGTTTATTGTAGGCTATGAAGCTAAGTATGCTTTCCGATCGTTATTCCTGGGTGGTCATGAACCTGGTAAGTCACGATGACACAAGCCTTAAGTAAATATGAAATCATCATTAATTGAATTTATAGCCGTTCAATGAAATTATATTCAAATCCCATTCTATTTGTGATAAGTTACAGCAGGCTCCAACAGTTCATCATTATTTTAATACCAAAGAATTACAATATCATATTTGTTTACGGTTTATTGGATTGCCTTTCTCTTAATAACTCACCACTTGTGGTTAAATTCTTCAAATGGGTAATCTACAGAAGGCCTACACTGCCATTTGTTTATCTCAATACGAGATTTATGTTTCAGGACAGCGATTCTAGAAATCTTTCCGAGGAATTTGGGTACACTCAAGTCAACCTAACTGGTTTGAGTATCGTAGATGAAAATTACACTGCAACTCTTCTCAATCGTGGTCCGAAACGTTTATCATACAATAAAGCACTTAGCGTTGACGCCATTAATCTCGTTTTAGAGTCGGTTGCTAAGATACGAGAAACATGGCGTCATAGAAATTTATCTGTGGCGTGTCGTGGAAGTGGGTGTGTTCAACCCGTACCCAAGGATGATATAGCAAGGGCAATTAAATATGTAAGTGATGTAAGCAAGGAGGACTGGCTCCCAGGGTTCCAACTCGATATTCTGCAATATATGAACTCATGTCGAGATTAAAAAATTCAAAATCAAACAGCCGCCATTTTTTCACTCCAGAATTTGAATCGTGAATTTTGGTCTTATTTCCAAACAAAAAATTAGCAAATCACAAAAGAAGAGATCAAAACATTTGTTCAAGTCTTTTGGATCGCTAATCGATTACGAATTAATTGCCATTTATAATGTCAGAAAATAACGACATTTTCAGTGTTGTCGTCGATCAAGGTCAAGGTCGAATATCAAGTTGGAACCCTGAGAGCCAATCCTCTTGGTGATGTAAGGTTAACAATAAGGACTGGTTAATTTCTCTTTGATTTCGCTTGTTGAGAAGAGAACTTCAGCTAGCAATTAATACTACCATCAGATCGTTTGGCTTCAGAGTAGTTAGGCTAAATGTTAAAAAACCTGGTAAACTCCTCGCACTCTTTGAGATCAATTACATTCACAGAGGGGAACCACTTAATCTCTATAGCTATCTAAGAGTATCTGACTCAATTTCCAGCTTTAAAACGAATATTGATATTATAGGGACTATATTTACAAATACCATTTAATCCAAGACTCTTCATCTGAACCAGAATTCCTAATATTATTGGTATGTAAATACAGAACTAAGGCGTTTAAGTACAAACTTCAAAAGAAATACTAACTGGCTTCATAGTGTCAGGTGTCACTATCGATCAATCACCCAATAATATCATCACTTTATTTTAATCAACCTTTTTGAGGATTTTTCCCCAGTGAAGGCTATTATGTATACAGGGTGTTCCAAAAGTAACAGGACTGGTGCTGGCATTTTGTCAATTTTGCACTGAGTATTTTCAAATTTTCACAAATTGTACTTTGAAGTATTGCAACTTAAATTATAAAGTTTCAGAAAAAATGATGAAATGCGGTTAGAGCTATGGTTACTATAGTAACATGCCATTCCAATACCCGGGGCAACTTTTTTCCTGAAAATGTGATATCTAACATTTTTGTATTACTGAATAAAGTATCTAATTCACCTATTATAATACAAAATATCTTGTTTATTTTATTAAGTCCTTTATTGTAAAGGTGTTGCTATACAACTCAGATTCAAGTATAATTTCATAATGATAATAACATTTATTCAATTTCCTGGAATATCACAGTACAGTCTAAATAAAGACCCAATTTGAAGCCAGTCATCTACCTTGATAGCGCGCCTGCCTGCAGGTCGGCATTAAAGACCATGCAGCTATAGAGGAACTTATAGGTCTTGAGGGTCTAAAACCATGCACCATACTCCTCTGATCATGCAATATCTAATTTTTACTTATATTGAGAACGGAATGCTAATCAGTGCTGTACGACCTTTAAAGATGAGAATGGCCTTCTCCAAATTGTCCAATCGACCCTGCGTGACATGCTCTCAAATGGGTTTACTCATGTGTTTGGGTCATGGATACAGAGTACTACTCTTGTACTGACCAAAGAGGAGCCTATTTTTCAAAGTAGAGGATACATAGGAATATCAAATGACATAAAACAAATGTAATTCCCACCAGTTGTTGCATTTCAACTTTGATATAGCATGTACAAAATGATATGGCATGTACAAAATGCTTAATGTCTCTGTAACTTTTTGCGTGGAATGTTGCCCCGGGTATTGTGATGTCATGTTACTATAGCAACCATAACTCAACCCGAGTTTCATATATTTTGTAGAAACTTTGCAGTCTTAGTAACGATACATGAAAGTACATTATGTAGAATTTTGAAGATAATTGGTGCATATTTAACAAAATGCCAGCACCAGTCCTGTTACTTTTGGAACACCCTGTAAGCAACAATGATAACAATGGGCGTTACGTTGAGCAAGTTGTCAACAGAGTATAAATTCAATGTGCATCAATGTTTGTAATCGCTTATTTAAAGTATACAATCACAATACTTCTCTTACCATTAGCGAGATTAATTTTGCGAAACAAGAGATCTGTCTTGTCACAAAGCGTGAAACATTTCTCTTATCATTTGAACACATTTCCAAGGATTTAAAGCCATTTCCAAAATATGTGTTGCATGGTTGATGGGTAGAACCCAAAAATCGTAATTCCTCCCTCTCAAAAGCATGGAGTGGACTCCGAGATAAAAAGTATTTGAAATGCTCATATTCTTTGCATATTAGACTGTATAATGTCCACGTGGGTGAAGGGAAATGATGTAATAATTCATTCTAGAATCATGAAATAAGAATGTAATAATAATGGAAAAGTGAATAAAATCAATGGAAATATCACATTGAACATATTACATAGTGATTTCGAGTGTTTTATATGTGTTAATGTTTGCCCTAGTTTTCTAGTACTCTAATCACACTGCTTTCACCATCAATTCTACGTTAAATGATGTAATAAAGAAACGTTTTACAGCAATTAACCCTAAGAGTGAAATAGTGGACAAGTGGTTACTTTATTGCGATTTCCCTAGCTGTTTAGCCATAATTCCTAAATATAACATATATCATTCGTGCTTAGAATAAAAACAATGTATTGACATTTAACCTCCACTAGGAATTCTAATCTCGAATCGCCATTTAGTTTTATGTCTTCCTGACGTGTTATTCTGTCCACAGAGAACCTATGACTGCACTCTTACAATTATAAAAGTATTCTCTTAGCAAAGTACAGTTTAACATGTATTTCCCAGCACCTCTCAATGTGAACGCTATTTCGGTCCGATTTTGAATCTGTTTTACAGATATGTGAGACTACCCATATTATAAAGAATCTTGAAATGTGAACACCTGTCAACTTGAACACTGGACCCAGTAATGTTCGTATTACACACATTTAACTGTACTATTTTGTCATTGCCAGGCCAATATGAGAGGAGTCACTGGTCGGATTCACTTCGACGAAGACGGTTACAGAAACAATGTCTCGATGCAAGTACAGGGTCTTACGGAAAATGGCATTAAAAGGGTAAATACAGTCTGAGAATGATTCCCATTTGAAGTACTTTGCATTTGCAACTCTCAAATCGGTCACAATTGGCCTATATCCTCACAATAAGGTACACTACGTTAGTTGTGAGGTATACATATTCCTAATTTGGTGGCTGACATACACAACCCCTTTTATATAGCATCCTCGACTAGTTCATTATTAGGGCTAGTCTATAAATTGACCAATCAAATCACAGGGGCCGACATACATTTTTATAAATAGAGGTACACGTTGAATCAAAATTCTTCGCCTATATTTGCTACAATTAAGATATTGTTAGTTTGTGCTCATAATAAATGTACACACTGCACAGCTTTTGTTTTGAACAGATAGGTACGTGGAGACAGAATGAAAACATATTTGAAAGAAGGCTACAGATGCCAGCACCAAACCTGACGGCTTATTCCGATACAGAGAACGTCCTAGCGAAATACAGACCGATCAAAGTTGTGACTTTATTGGTAATCTTCATTTCCTTTGCTTCGTCGGTTATATACCAAAAACATGGGTAACTCTCAGGGCCGAGATTATTGCCCTCACTTAAGTACATGTTGTCACACCATGTGTAGTGCTTCACTTGATGAAACGAGCACAGCATTTGACAAAATGAAGGATATTGTTCGTGACATAGAAATATAACCCAGTCAAGGATTTAGCCCAGGGCTCAATGAATTGTGAAAAATTGTGAAAGACTTCGAACGTTGGAATGTTGCCCGAATTTTAAGGATAGCATTAAATCAGCCACAATTCATTGAGTCGCGTGCTTAAATTCTTTTCACGCATACCAAAAGAGATATTGTAAATAAAATAAAAAGAAGGAAATCATTCAAAAACTTTGACCTTGAAAAAATTCTACTTAACAATTGAAATGAAAAAAAAACGTGAGGTAATAAATGGATCATTTCGATCAGGATCAGGATCTGACAAATATACTAGATTCTAATATGATGAATGCCGTCCCAATTAAATAGCTAGAACAATTGATTTACTGGTCTATATTTGAGTATTTATGACCGTTAAAATTCATAAATGCAAATAGTTGTTTTTCATGTCCGTTTATCATATTCGAATCGTAACAAAGACTTCGATTTTATGATTTGTGTCAAATATATGACCTTAAATTGTGTTCTGTACATTGCCAAAGACATAAATCGCTCCGCGATTTCAGTCTTTTTACAATGAACATTCATTTTCAGTCATATATTACGCCATAAATCATAAAATCTCGGTCTTTATTAATATACTGGTCATGGACCTATTCCTTTTTTAGAAGTCGATGATCTGATTCCAATATGGTTTTATAGCTGATGAATTGTTTGAACATATTTTTCAGGCTAATTTTACGAACCATACGAGTGATTCTTTCTTTGAACTATCAAAAACTCTTCACATGACACTTGATTTAATTGGGTGATACCGCACCCCCTCTGGCAACCCCCTTCTCAAAATTTCAATTATTTTTTATCGACTCATACACTTTGAAAGTACCCAGAAATCGCCAAAGAACATCTTAAAATGGTAAAATATTCTAGAGGGAGCGGGCCACTCATCCCAACCCCCCAAAAAGAACAGTTGAATCTGTCTAAGACACTTCCAAAGTGCTCAGGCATTATCAAATTGAAATAGCAAGTTGAGATGGTCAATGTATTTTTGCGGGTAACTTCTTGCTCCCCCTCTGGCGCACCCCCTGTCACCCCCAAGGATGAATTTTTTTCTAATTGACTCGTATCTTTCAAAGTGCCCTAAAATCACCAAATAGCATCTTAAAATTGTAAATTTTTCTAGAGGGAGTGGGCCACCCATCACCCCCCCAAAAAAGAACAATTGAAAAGAGATTCTGAATTTATTATGAGTAAACCGTTTAAGTAATAGGTTTCTCTTTTTATTACTTCATCCGATGATTAATTTCCAACTCTTTAACACTAGTGGGTTATCTAGTCTCAAGTTTTTCTTCGGAGAGACTGTGGGGGGTGGTACATGATAACCAATGTTGTGTCAGTTTTATGTAATTAATCAAAAGTGTAATTATCTAAAAACAACTGGAATAAATTGATTTGAATAAATAATCAATTTATCCAATACACCTTGCAAATATGATCAAATTAGAAGGCATGGTACTGTACATTTTGAGGTATTCATGTTAATAGCACAGTTCAAGATTTTGTTTAAAATTTTTAAAAACCCTGATTTTAGGAGAGCCCATTTGTTATGCTAAAGAAAGAACATGCAACTTTAATCGGAAATGACAGATATGAAGGATTTCTGGTCGACCTACTCGCAGAGGTTGCGAAAAAACTTGGATTTACTGATTACTATGAAATATACGAAGTCCCGGATGGAAAATATGGCTCAAAGGGCAAGGATGGAAAGTGGAATGGTATTATACATCAGCTTGAGATTTGCGTAAGTCATAATTGTATATATCTTGACTTCATGTCAGATATTTAAGTACATGTAGGTTTGATTTATAAAACACATCGAGAAAAAGAAATATCATGTGGCGCAGCCAGTCATTCAAAAACCCAAATATCTAAAATTATTCTCCCAAAACACGAAAATCATATCTTTTATTATATCATCTTCGGCTTATTGCAGTTGTCAGAACAACGTCATTACCGGTATTTTAAAGAAGTTTATTCCGTTCAGTGTAATTAAGCCGAAATGTTCAACCTGAAAATATGTATCGATCCCTGTTTAAACGTACATAACAGACATATCATGCCCATTGAGATTTTGAGTTTACATCATGCGAAATAACATTTCTCTTGAAATCTATGTTTTAATCCCCGGACGAACTTGGGACTAGGGAACGGAGACTTTAAAGTCCCAGGGTCGATTCTCATATGGGACATCGAATTTTGGTCAATTTAGTTCCTGTCGTTGTCCACTGGTCTAGCTTGTTTCAGTGAATATATCGTGCATTCATTTGTCAGTTAATTCTCCCCGAATGTACCCCGGATCATTACGTAAGTTAATCGTGCTTTTTATAATCTTGACATGTCTAGTTGCATCAGCGAACGTTGATTACCCATGATTTTATAACGTTTATAGACTTAATGGATCTAAATCAAATGTTACAGCGTTCAAATTGCGTTATCTGCTAATCAAATGGCGCCCAAAAGAGGCATATTAATCGTAGTCTTCGGAGTCGCCTATATTTACAGTGCTATTATACAAAGTCGACAACTCGTAATTATCATATAACATAGTTCACAATTTCCTATCTAAATTGGATAACTATTTGATTTGTGTTTGTTAAGTTACATTTACTGTGCTTTCTATGACATTTAATGATACAATTTATCACTTTATACTTCAGAATGCAACGATGAGCTTTGCGGCCACTTCTATTACGTCAGAAAGAGAAGAGGTTATCGATTTCACTAAACCATACAAGGATTTAACATATAGTATTCTAATGAAGAGACCCAAAAGGAAAGCGACAATGTTTCAGTTCCTTACACCATTTTCTGGTGCTTTATGGGCACTTATGGGTGTAGCAATTGTCGTTGTAAGTGTGATGATATTCTTAATGGACAGATTTGTACCAAATAATCTGGTTCACCATGCTGACCACACTCGCTTCAATGCACAAGAAAGCACGTGGTTTACTTATTCATCATTGGTCGGAATTGGACCGGAAGTGTACCCACGAACTATTTCCGGTCGAGTGCTGGCCGCCATCTGGTGGTTCTTTTCTTTGATACTCATATCTTCATATACTGCAAACCTTGCAGCATTCTTAACTGTTTCAAAGATAGAAACACCCATAAAGTCAGTAGCCGACCTGGCTGTACAAACTAAAATAGGATATGGTACAGTTCAAAACACATACTGTGAAACATTCTTCAGAAAGTCAAATATTGAGTATTTAACAAAAATGTGGACGTATATGTCAGAGGTAGCCCCTGACTCTAGAGTAAAGAATTCTTCAGAGGGTATAAATAAGGTTCTGACTGGATCTTATGCTTTTATGTTTGACACTCCGATATTGCAGTATGCCACCACCCAGGAGTGTGACGCAATGATAGTGGGTGAACCCTTTAATAAGAGAGGGTATGGAATAGGGGTACCAAGAGGGGCACAATATAGGGATGCCATATCAAAAGAAATTCTTATCCTACAAGAAGAACAGATTGTCAAAAAACTCGAAAACAAGTAAGTATAGTAGGAAGCTAATTGCAAATAAATAATATCTTAGGTGTTGAACGTTTCGCACGAGTCTCTCAGGAGCACATCCACACGTTTCTTTTTTTCTCCTCATCGATCCAAGCCTCTGCTTACGTCCCCAGTCTTGTTTGAAGTGTAGCATATGTGTAAAGGATGCCGCCAAACAAAAATGAGAACCACACCTCGTTCAATTTTTTTTTATTCTTCGAGTATTGTTCACGTATAATAATACTGGATAGATAATTCAATTTCCATAAAATGATGCATTATCTCTCAAAACAATAAAGTATTGTTATGTTAACTTACCATAGCATTGGGTGAATCTCCTCTGAACAATATTCCAATGACGTACATTGCACGCTCAAAACCAATTCTAACAATTGACAATTTTATATCTTAAGGAGAAAGCTGGTTTCATGAAAGCACATTGTGCCATTAGTCAGATCCCTTAACTCACCGGCCCTACACTTGCTGGAATAGATTTATCCGAATTATCCGGGGAACTTGAGCAGGAGCGTTACAATAAATTATATTCAGGATAAATCTACATATACCAATAAAAGCTGAAATCCAGATTACTTTATATTTCGAGTTTTTTTCTAGGTGGTGGGGCAATGCAAAGTGCGAAGAATTCAAAAGTGTCATCCCCGCAGGTACTGAATCCCTCCCAATTGAGAACATTTCCGGAATCTTCTTCGTACTGATTGGCGGTATAATCCTTGCAGTGATCGTCTGCTTCTTCGAATTCATACTGGCAAGGAGAAAGAATAAACTTCATAAGGTAATACTGATATGTAAGCACAATTGCCTAAAATCCACAAAAAGCTAAGACAGTCAAAACAGTGACAAAAGATAAGTTTAAGAGTACAGCCAGTTTAAATAAAGCAAACCTCCAACACTCCAATCGCTGATCCAGCGCATAAAGAAGCTGTCTCCAACCCCATACTGCCACCAGGAATTTTTATTCAAAAATCATTTTACATGAAATCTCCCAAAACAAGAAATGTTTGAACCTTGTTTTCAATTAATTGATAGACACGTTACAAGAGCATGTCACTCAATGTTCTAAAAAACAATATATGATGACCACCAAACACCAATGAGCAGCCTGAGGTACTGTATAGCCATAACCACCGATTTTAAGTATATTTCATATTTTTCCAGAATTCAAAGATTACTTCAACGAAGCGCCATTCCTCTGTAACAGATGCCTCGGATGAAACCAAGAACTTTATAAATCCAGTGACTAACATACCATCCCAAGTTATACTTACTAATGGAAATACAGATAAACAAATGGACAAAGAAAGTTCGATTTAGAAATTTTGTAGATTAAAGATGGCGATAGTTACTTATAAATGTTTTTATACAATATTATTGTGTGTGATCAACAATTTATGTTTATAGATATTTGGACAGCGTTGAACCGGAGACACGTAACATCTAAAATATACGTATCTCTGGTTTTATGTTAATATGTTTGAAATAAATTCGATCCGAAAAGAACTACCATCTTAAGATAGAGTCTCTTTACAGCCTTAAACATGTTAATGTATAGTACTCGTATATATACTCCTCAAAAGAAGTTAAGGACCATGCAGTATTTGTCCTCATAGGTTTACATGTTAAACCCTATGTATCTTTAAAAACTATTTTCTAAAATAGGAAAACCATCAAACATCAAACCATCAAACATCAAACACTCAAAACAAGTTTGTCAGACCACTAGAAGGAAGGGATGCCATATGAGGCTCCCCACCTTTCATCCCGATTTATATAACACTGTGTGCTGAAAATGATGATAGGCCTCTTTACAATCTATTGATGGGTCCCATTTAAATATATATTTATTTTTTGTCTAATCATCTTATTGTATTATCAGGCAAAGTCAATAGATGTGTAATTATATACAATTTAGTGTTGTTACCCACTGCATTCTTTATTTGAACCTATAAGATAACATTTTTCGCCATTTCACCCCAATTTTTTAATTTTTGGACCCATGGGAGGGGTTAAAGGCAGAATCTGATCTATAGGGGGTGACAAATTACAAGAAACATGTATACAATCATGTAATTGACCTACCAATCTATTCCTTACAATATCAAATACAATATCTCCCAAAATATTCACAATATGTTATAAATTGGTGAAGTAATTAATGTTTCAAAGTGCAAAAATGGGTGAAAAATGTTTAAATTCTCCGGCCAAATAATAAAAATGGTAACCATTCTTATAGAAAAATAATACATTATTGTAAAAATCGTTAGTTTTCCTGGAATAAAATATGCAATTTTGTGATTTTTAGAAAATAGACATGACAAGGAATGACATGAGCCAAAAATATTCTAAAATTGAACCAATGTTTTGTTTAGCCTGCTCACTCTATCTGATTCTCTCTTTAAATAAGGTTAACATTAAAAAAAATTCTCATGCCGTTTTACCACTAACTGAACTTAATGGCTAAATATATTGGAAATTTTAGAAATGAGTCTGTTTCATTTTTAAGTCAATATATTAACTATAGAAATCTGCAATATTAGAAAATTTATAGTGGATCTTTTGAGAAAATGTCATTTTAGTAAAGCCATATTTTGAGGAGTAATCGACTATTTGACTCCACAAAAATTTGGGTGCCTTACTATAGGAGGTTGTTATGTTTGTTATGTTTATAATATATGTTTTAACTTTTTACTCTTTTTCACAATCATCATTAAAGTCAAGTCAAAGTGACCTACGTGAACATCATCCTATACAAAGTGTGTAATAAAAGGGCAGAAAAATATTTCCGAGAAATCCAAAAATACATTACATACCCTATAGATCTTTTCTAAACATGATTAATACGTTTCTTTTGTTTAGAAATGTTTACAATATTTTATCTACTTAGATTTTTATATAGTGCTACGGCCAAGCCAATTTATGTCCAAAACACCTAGATTCAATTTGACTTTAGATTCTTGTAGGGGACCCCAAGGCATGTAAAAAAACAAAACAAAAGAAACAAAATTTGGTAGAGATATGGGATAAATTGTCCCTAAAAGTATTCTCTTCAAAATTTCTTAATCAGTCGATAGTTAATGAGTCATTTAAAGGGTGACGCATATCGTTTAGCAAATCGAACGCTCGTTTCTGGTGTTGCTCACCGTTTAGTATAAAGGCCCGATCCCGGAATAATACTCAAGGGTTCACAGGTTCGAGGTCGTTGTGTCAACACCTCTAACTGTTATATAGCATAAGTATATTATAGATCGTCACACATTTATAAAAGGGTGATTTTTATTTTGACAAATCAATTCCACATTTATGGGTGACGTTTCAGGATCTTCTATTTTTGTATAATAAGGAAAAATTGGCATCTAAATTTCCCCATAACGTAATAGTACACAGCTTGGCATATGAAATATCCTACAAATGAAACAAAGCAGTTCTAATACAAGGATTTATATTGGCTGTTGTACATGTATTCTTTGAACGCAATCACTGTTTGGATAACGTTTCCAAAGACAATTTCAATGGACTGGATTTTACAGAACTCCCTTTATTTCTTAAAAATGGACTGATCCAGTTGATTCGCCTGGAGCCGCCATATTGTTTTTATACGGGGTGCTTATCGGAACCCTTTAAAAAACAGTAAGGGCCTATGGTGTATAAAATATGATTAAAAACTTCACTGATGATGTTATCAAATATTTATTGCATAAGTTTCAATAAAAAGTACACCAAATTTTGTTGGATAAGACCCAAACTTTCAGGAATTCTTCATACCTGCCTTATTGATATTTTAACAATGTTTCATTATAATTGCAACATCCTCAAATGAGATATTAAATAGTTTCAAGTATATGGTCAAAGTCCGACTCGAAAATGATAACATCTGCCGACTCAGCACTTTTGAGCCTGCTTTGCAAGGGTTCACAAACTTTTTTTTACATGCCTTAGGGTCCCTTACAAGAATCTAAAGTCAAATTGAATCTAGGTGTTTTGGACACAAACAGCCTTGCCCGTTGTACTTATATAGAAATACTTTAACTTAACTTTAACTTAGAAAAACTCTAAAGCACGCATCCTCTGTTGATTCTATAAGTCTAGGAAGTTTTGGTGATACAACAAAGTTAGTCCTCATGTATGTAGGATATCTTAAAAATCGATGGCACTCCTCTTATGGAAACTTTAAACTATAGTAATTTACACTTCTAAATTCTGATATAGTAAGGCATGTCCATACATTTTAAGAAAATAAGCCAAACGTTGCCCTGATAGCTCAGATTTTCTTTCAATTTTTCTCTCTACAGGCCTTTATTCCACTTTAACAAATTATAGTTTGAAATGCTTAAAATGCATCATATACTATGTGCATTTTAAACGATTTACGGGGCTGAACCCCTTTCCCCCCTTTTTTGGCGATGTTCATTTTGGCTTATTTTTTTAATTTCAGGGACATATTTATCGGGAGATTCATACTTTCATGAATGTATTGTTGATTTACTTATCATCCTGTGGAGTCATGAAATACGCCGATGTTTAAGATTTTGTGTCTGACATTTTCCAATAATAAAAATATTGTAAAGGAGTAAGAAGGACTCGAACCTACGCATATTTGTGATCAAGCAAATCAATATCTAGTTGAACTGGATCAACTGCTACGTAGAAATGAAATGATTATCTCAACCTTACATGAGTTCGGTTCATTTTACGAAAACACTAAAACATTCTTAAAGAGGATTTAAGATGATTTTAAGCCATTATATGCAGAATTTAAGTGTTTAATTTAATGATATCACCACATCAAGAAATACAACTATAAAAGTGTGTCTTGTCATTCAACAGTTGTTTTAAAAATTGTCGAAAAAGAATTCGAAATCCCTTATCGCTGAATTGTCTAATCTTTGGGAGCCCCAGTATACGCTAATATAAAATTAACAAACACTATCAGCCAATAAATTGCCTAAGTTGATGTAACAGATTTTAGATATACCGAGGTGCACTAACCAAAGCTATCATTATTTAACGAAGGCTACATCAAAATGTCACAGAATATGAATAGCAAATGCGTAATAATCACGGGATCGAGTAACGGTATCGGTCAGGGAGCAGCTATAGAGTTTGCCAAATGCGGGGCAAGCGTATTAATCCATGGACGTGACGAAGAAGCGATTCAAAATACGGTTCAGATGTGTAAAGAAGCGGCAGGTGACAAAGATGCTAAGTTTCCAAGCGTTCGGGGTGATATTAAGGATGAATGCACATTGAAGGCTATCGTAGACGCAGCAATGACAGAATTTGGTAAGATCGACGTGCTTATAAATAACGCAGGAGGTGGAACGGTTGGAGCGACCCTCACTGGATTGGAAATGGAATCGTACGATGAACAGATGGCCATGGACCTTTCGGTAAGAGCACCTATAAGGCTATCTCAGTTATGCTTTCCAGAGCTTCAAAAATCACAAGGGAACATTTTGAACATTTCTGCAGTATCGGGGGTGAGACCAGCAGTACGGCTTCCATTTTACGCTATCGCAAAGGCAGCGTTGAATATGTTCACGCAATGCGCGGCGCTAGAGATGGGACCAAAAGGCGTGAGAATCAACGCGCTGGCTCTCCATGTCGTACCGACTATGATACACGAACGCTCGGGGATTATGAAACCAGACGATGACAAGGCAGCGTTCTATGAGCGATGTTCAACGGTCGTTCCTCTAAAGAGACTTGCAACAGTTGACGATTGCGCAAAGATGATGGCGTTCTTGACATCAGACGCATCTTGTATTCTGAATGGCGAGGTCATTGTAAATGATGGTGGACGCTCATTGACGGGTTTCTAATAGGATTCGATATTTCAAAAACAATAATTATAAAACTCAATTGTACCCGTTGGACCTTGTTTATAAAAGATATTATCCAGGACACGTATGAACTTATATCTCTGTACAAGCGAGCTAGGTAGAAATAGGCCATCATGTCACATTTCTCCTTGGAAATTAACCCTGGTAGGAAACCCATTTCCACTACATCAGATCCAGAGTAAATGGTCCTCTGAATTGAAATACTATATGTAGTTTACACATTAAAGGTATAACGACAGTCGAAATGGGTTATCTGTTTTCCAACTACTGTTACTGAATGGATATAGGCGCTTTTAATTGCTTAGACTAACTGTATAAAAATGTGTATCAAATATTAAGATACTGTTACAATAACAGCTTTCGATCTTGTAATCCTTTTAGGTCGAAATATGTCTCTCATCACAAGGTGTCAAAAAACGTACACATTTTCATTCGAATTTTAAAAATTTTATGAGACCCAAAAGTTTGACCTAAGCACATTTATAATAAATTGGAAGTATGATTTAATTAAAATATTTATTAAGATTTTAATGTGATTGTCAAACAAGAAATCATTGCCTATGTATTATTAAACATAAACAATGACAAATATATGTAAAACATATCTATTATCTATTTGAATATTATAGAGGTATTGGAACGTTTATATATTCAGAGGGCTCATTGTTATAAGCTGGTGTCGGCTCGGGGTTCGTTTTAATTGTTTTTTATGTATACCAAGACAATATAATAAATTTTGCAATTGCTTTAGAATTGAATTCATGTACCTTTCTTCATTAACAATCAAAAAAATACGCGTTTTTTGTCAACTTCTGGCTTAATTTGTCAAAATCGTTTCTCCGTGACTTGCACCACAATTTCTTATCTTCTCAACTCTTTAAAACTCACACAACTCCCCCAATTTGCTGTTGCACCCGAAAAGAAAGCTCTAGAAACATGATAAGTTACAAAAATTAAGTAAAGTTTCTATATAACATGTCTTGCACTTTTAAATGCCTCTCTACAACTAAACTCACTTTATTACTTAAGTTAATACAAGGGGTGATCAACAAATATCTCAGAAACTACTTGAAGCACCAAACATCATCAAACATTCATCAATATTTCCAGAAAAATTAAAGTTAAAAACATTGATAAATGCCAAAGTTACAGTTACCATATTAACCCGTGGTATGGGTAGGTACCTAAAGCAGGTCTTGAATATTAAGTAACAGTAAGGATTTTGTTGAAGATATCGAAACTCAATAGAGAGATTTCGCACATAAGTGAAAGTACAACTTATACGTATACGTATAGTTTAAAGGGTCATGTCGAACTATTATATTTACTAAAATCAATTTTAAATTGTACTTAATGGAACATAACTATTCCCGTTATAGAAAAGCTCCATCAACTAGAGACTATGAATACACTGTCATCTGCACGTGTAGATTATGCACATTATAATTAAATGCTTGCTTCCGTGTCCTTGTAGTTGTACAGGGCGTTCAGTAAGTAAAGCTAATTTTGCTCTCAAACTTTTATTTTTTGTCATTTATCTTTCAAATTTTCAGTGAAGAAGCATTTGACATTTTTCTAACTACTCTGAAAAATAAAATAAGATATGATGGATAATAGCAAAACAATGGTTGTCATAGTAACGTGAATACGGGTTCTGCGGAGCAATTTCTAACTTTAATAAAAATGTTATAATGCAATGAAATTGATTAAGATTAATGCTGCATGTGTCTTTGTTTGCTATGGCTGAAAGTCACGACAAACATAACAACAACATACACAAATATGATACCATGGCAACAGTAGTCTATGAAATCACAGACAGATGATACAACAGATGGAATGATCCAGAATGATCCATCAGACACTGCTCCATGACATCATCAAAATCATGGCGATTAACAAGAAGAGGCCCCATAGGACTCTCAACTCCTACATATTCCATCAAGATAATGCGCCATCGCATAGGTCGCAAATGGTGCAGGATACTATCCAGAAAATGCTGGAGATGGAGGTTCAAGGCCAGTCAGCGTATTCTCCTGACAAGGCACCGTGCGATTTTGGGGGTATTTTCATGTTTGAAAAATGATCTGCGTGGTAAGATCCACGCAAATATCCATGAGCTTCAGAATGCCGTTCAACGTTCGCTGACAAAGAACTTTCCAGATGGCTTCCACAGGATATATCAGAAGTGGATAGAACGACATCAGCTGTGTGTGAAAGCTAATGGGAACTACTTTGAACATGAAATAGAATGCTAACTTGAAAGTAGAAATGTGGAGTAGCCACAGAACTATGGTTGAAATATAGACAGGACAGAAACTAACGTTAACAAAATCTACTATGCTGTGAACTTATAAAATTGCTCCGCATAACCCGTATTCGCGTTACTATGACAACCACCATTTTGCTGTTATTCATTATATCTTGATCATTTTTTTAAGATAGTTAGAAAAGTGTCTGATGCTTCTCCACTGAAAATTTGAACGATGATAGACAAGAAATAAAAGTTTGAGAGCAAAATTAGCTTTACTTACTGAACGCCCTGTAGTATTATAAACACCACGGGTTGTATCCAAAGCCCCGTTATAATTGAGAGGTCGCGAGCAAGTTCCCGCTGAAATCACGAGCAAAGTCCTTTTTATTTAATTCATCTGGAAATATGGACCAAAAAAGGTGAGAATACGCATTACTGTTCTTTGATACTTAAGGTATACTTTCAGAACAGGTATATCTTCACAAACAATGACATGAAAGATAACTATTTTTACTGGCATGGAAGAAACGGGCGTCAATATGCACGTTTGCATAATTTACTGTTAACATATTACTTTTATGGTTAAAATAGAGACACGAACTACGATATACATACCTCATTATGAATATTGGACCAACATTGTATGTATTGATAAGTTTGTTTTCAAAAACATCCACTGTGGGGGGTATAATACATCATTGAAGGTGTGCCAGTGGCCCCGCTGAAATTATGAGGAAGCCCCGCTGAAAACATGAGGAGGTCCCGCTGAAAACAGGAGCAGATATCACGAGTACCCGCTTCGATCACGAGGAAAGCTCATTACTATTACATAAAATATTGAGGTTCTTCAAATAAACGTACACGTAAGACCAAGTTAAGTATTTCTAATAATTACTGTATATATACTGTTTCATTCTAGGGCCAGGTTTCTAATGTTTCCATTCCAACTTCAAGCCACCAGAGATTTCGTCAAACATTTTATAGAGTTGCATCCATATCAAAATGTATAGGAGAAAGGTGGATATCATTTCAAGAATGAACTTAATTGAAGCCTGAGGTTCAGGGTAATGAGTCTTGTATTAAACAAAGACACCCCAAGTTGCAAGAAGATGAAATTTAGAGAGAAAGGAGAACCACAAAGTCTCCATGATAATTCAGGTTCTACTTTTATAATTTAACAATAACATTCAAGTTTTTGTTTTTAAATATTTATTAAAATAATGACCATTTGTATACCATACCTGATAATTTTCAGGGACATATCAACCGGGAATATATTCCATATCCGGGCAAATATTTTTCGTATGTCCCGCTCAAACGTGGATCCGGGACATATAAATCGTATGTCCTGCATAAGCCATTTTCCTGGACATATTGTTACGCAGTAAACACGATACAAATATATGTCATATTCCACAATGAATATGGCATATTCACTTGTGGAGTATGACAGATTCACCTGCGGTATATGGCATACTCACCTGCGGTGTAAGGCATATTCTGCAAGTGAGTATGACATATTCTGCGAGCATGGGGTATTTACTGAAATCAATGTATCACATATTCAATACGGAATATGCCATACTCACCTGCGGAATACGCCATATACCACAGCTGAATATGGCATATACACCCGTATCACAAATACCACGCAACCATGAATATATGCCATATTCCGCGTAACAGATACGATGTTACGCGGAGTATGGCATACATTTATGGTTGCGTGGTATTTGTGATACGGGTATACAGTATATGCCATACTCACCTGCAGTTTATGGCATATTCCGCAGGTGAGTATGCGATATTCCGCCGTGAATATGCGATACATTGATTTCAGTGAATACCTGATAGTCACCTGCAGAATATGTCATACTCACTTGCCGAATATGTCATATACCACAGGTGAAAATGACACAATGATTACCCGTTTGTTCAATCAATGCAATTGACAATTGCGTACTTCCGTATCGTGTTCTCATTGCTTAGTGGGTATGCAATATACTGCAGCTGAATCTGTCATACACCGCAAGTGAATATGCCATATTTATTGCAGAATATGACACATATTTGCATCATGTTTTCCGCGTAACACGTGCGTTTAACATATCCTACGATTAATTGTTAATGATGAAATTATTTGATTATTATAATTTCGGACTCATAATCGGATGATGTACTCCTTTGTTACTTACATCTAGCAGTTGATCCATAAATTGCCTTTTCAAACGTGTGCGCCATTGGTGCTGAATCCTCTAAGGTAGTAATATACTGAACTACAGTATAATGTAACTTCAGTGAAATATAAATATATATTGCATACAAAGAAGAACGAGTTATTTGAAACTTGTAAAAAGTCGTGGAATGGATTTAAATCTTCTCTTGGTAATTTCTCGATGGAGTCAAGTCGAAATACATTAAGTGAAATGGTTTTATTGGAATCATGCTCGTAGCCAGCTTTTGGTAAGGGGGGAGGGTTGCTCGAACCGATAATAACAATCACAATGATATGCTCTGTAGAGTATCAATATATATATTTATGACGTTGGCTACAGTCGTGGCAGATTTGCAAAGTCAAATCGGTCTTCACTCCATTTTAGAGAGCCACTTGCTCCTGATTTCAGCGGGACCTCCTCATGTTTTCAGCGGGGCCTCCTCATGTTTTCAGCGGGATCTTTAGTTTATTGCTCATGGTAGAAGCGGGGCCTCAAGGGATATGCTAAATTTGAAATATATAATTTTTTGTGAAACTTAAGGAAGTGAAACTCACAATACCTTCATTTCATATTACTATGACCATTTCAACTGAAGGGCAATGACCTTCTTCAGCTATAAAATATAGAAATATATAGATAAAGATTCAAGATGATACATTCTCTCTCCAATTATCGAATAACAAAACTCAGAACATAAGCTCATGATCCTTTTTTGCAGGAGTTGCTTTTTACTATCAATACCATGTAATAATTGAGTAAAATTAAATGAAAGCGCTTTTTACAACATACAATTTAAGTAAACAAAAGATAACCCTTCTTTTCTTTTAATTGCTCGCGATCTCAGCGGGTATTTGCTCGCGACTTCTAAATCATAGCGGGGCTTTAGATACTACCCGTGAACACGATCCTTTAAAGGGAGTCATGATTCTTTAAAGTG